CACACTCAGCAAGCCCTGATCATTTAGTTGCTTGCAAATTGCCAGCTTTAAAAGCATAGTTCCCTTTGGGACCAGACCTGGAGGAATGAAATCATACCTTAAAATTTTTTTTATTTTTATTTTGCATCTACTTTTCAAATTGGTACAACCATCTCCTTCAACAGTTCCTTTCACTTTTGTCTGAAATGGAACTCATTTCATGCTACCAAATCAAGACAGCCTTTGAGAATGGGTGGCTAGGAAACACGTAAATTAGGAAGTCACCAGACAAGGGGGTGGAGTTTGGACTGGAGGAAAACAGCACATGTATTCATACACAAACATATTTTGCCTTAACAGGTAAGCTCTAGCCTTAAAGCATCCAGCTAAGGTGGCCAGCTCGCAACATCACAGGCAACCCTGGCATCAATGGCTTGATGAGGTAAGCATCCCACTGCTGGGCTAGCAGGCTGCAGACTATAAGAAGCATTGGATTTGTTCCAACATAGGGCAGAGAAGCAAAGCAATTAATCAATGGGACTACTAACATGTTTAAATGGAAACAATCTGCAGCGCAGTGATCTGAAATGCTCAAAATGGAGGTACACATCATTAAGAAACGAGATTGAATAAAGCTTCGTACTGCAGATCACCTGGAAATTTGGTGGAATTTATCCTTTTTGCTTCAAATAGAACTGGAACTGATACCAGGTGGTAAAATCTATACAAAACTGTTCTGAACAGCAAATTGCTTGCTTCCAGTAACTTACATACTGAGGGGTCAGTCTGCACCTCTGACTGAATATAACAAAACCTCGTATCTGACTAAAAAGATATTACAGACTGAGTCAAACATATATTGAGTGACACACTTCCAACAGCAATAGTATTATTACTTCTAGTTCTACAGGCAACGGAAGTATTTCAGGTGATGCTTCCATACAAAGATTCAGCAATCACACAACAATATATGGAGCTGATTAATAATCAGGAATTTTTATTCACCTGCAGGCTGCAAGACCTGATATAATACTTTGAATGCATTTGGAAACAGCGAGTACAGATTCCTCACTTCTTACAGAGATATAAACAGACAGTGATAATCAGGCATCTGGCTACAGGCGTGTTGTGGATTCTGAGTACAGCAATGAAGTCAGATCAGAATGTGCTATACCACTAAAAAATAATTTTCTAGTCTATGAGGTTGCTTTTACCAAGGAGGACCTTATCATCCAGCATTAACAATGAACATACTCGATAGCAGCTTGAGCAGAAAGTTTCTTCAAGGAAAAGTGGAAAGTTCTGAAGTGTGAGGAACTGACAGATTGTGCTCTGAGCTCAAGTGAAGCATCGCACTGTGATGTGTAAAATTATACTTTCAGTTCTCTGTGAAGGGCAATTTATGGCTTGAGCTTAGCATTATTTTTCCACCAGCCTGTAACCTTCTATACTTTTTTCTCTTAAGTAAAAAAGCAACAGGTTGACCAGAAACTCTATGCAAATGCTTTTAACTCACATTTATCACACAGTGCACAGATCTTTTGAAAGGTAAACCAGAAAGCTCTCCTTTTCACTGAAAGGTTGGGGAAAAAAACCCAACATTTTTAGGCCAACCAAGGTGGGGAGTCAGAACTTAGGGACAGGCACCCTAACCTACCGGTCTACTGAAGGGATGTTAGCTTTAGTTCCTAATACACTAGAGAAGCAATTGGTTTCATTATAATGGTGTTCTAGTATATCTAAATGGAAAAGAGAAAGCATTCAGTGAAAACAACTGAGAAAACAACCAAATCTGTGGATTTTAATGCTTGACAAGAAGTACTCCAAGTAACATTTTAAAAAAAGACTTCTTTGGACACAGCGTAAGGTGAAACCATAACTGGATGAAGAAAAAAACATTTTAGAAAATGCAGCAGCCCGATTCCTGTACTGAGGTTAGTTTCACAAAAGATCCCTAAAGCAAGAAGATCAAAATCCTAGTTTCCACAAATACTACAAATTTTCTGTGTGTACCTTAAAAGGAAAAGAACTAAATTTGTTTAATCAACCTACCCATACAGTAATTACCCTGGACGAAATCACAAGACCAGGCAACTGCAAGTCGAAACCTGCTTGTGGCTACTTCGGCATGATGTGCACACATCCAAACTAGGTTTAAGTACCCTCATACTGAAACGTGTCAGCTTTGGTGGCAGAACTCATTCAGGGCAGGTAGATTAAAAAAGAGTTGTTTCTACTCTGCACTGAGAGTTCAGATAGCAGTCAGGCGAAGAGATGAGGGGGAGCAACGTTGCCCTTTTGCAAGACTTCCTTGAAGTCCCTCCATCTTCAGAACTGCTACAGCCGCCTGTAATCCGTTCCCAATCTACTCTGGGGTCAGTACTGATCATTACTGATCCCAATCAGCAATAAGCTAGAGGATTCCTCAAGTATGGTTGTACCTGTATCCTCAGATGCCTTCTGAGTGTTAAATCATCAGATACAACCATATTTCTTTTCCCTCTTTCACAATCAGATCAAGCCTCCCGTTATTACTTGAGTTACTTGAAATAAGTTACAACTGCTATTTCAAAAGCAATCACATTAGGATTCTCAAATACCTTGTTCTGTTCTCTGTTTCAAAGACAGAACAAGCACAGTGATTATGGGAAAGAAATAAGGGACAAATACAGTAACCGACAAATCCAAAATACTGCTGATAAGCACAGAATTCTCAACAGTCCCTTAATGTGTTAACTGATAAAACTTTTTAGAAGGTACTCACATAAAAAAGTAATTACAGAAAAGTTGAAACTAAACCTAAACTTGGGGTCTAGTAAGACAGGCATACTTAATTGCTTATTTAACAACATGGGAACTCAGCCTTTCAGCCCAGGAACCTGTAAGCCATCAGAAATGTCTCTGGTAGACATGCTCAGTATCACTCCACAGGCTCAGGGCTTGAGGCATCTTAACTGTGGAGTGGCAATTGCTCCTGCCCACCACTGAAATCCAAATTCAGCAGGAGCCAGGAGCTCTGGCCTCTCACACTCATCTGACTAACAGGTGAGTGGGAGCATCATGGCTCTGCTGAAAGCAAAGCCTCCAAGTCCTAAGTCATGTCTGTTGGGATATTTACCATCCTGTAATCACAGAATAGTTGACGTCAGAAGGGACATCTGGAGATTGTCTAGTCCAACTCCTGCTCAAAACAGTCCCACCCAGAGCAGACTGCTCAGGGCCATACCGGTTGGATTTTGAGTATCTCCAGGGATGGAGACTCCACAGCTTCTCTGGGCAACCCGTGCCAGTGCTTAGTCACAGGCACGATGAAAAAAGTGTTTCCTGATGTTCAGAAGGAGCCTCCTGTGTTTCAGTTGGCCTCCGTTGCCCCATGTCCTGCCACTGGGCACCACCACAGAGCGTGGCTCCATTTCTGCACTCTCCCCTCAGGTACTTCAATGTACTGAGGGTGTTGTGCCCCCTCAGCTTTCTCTTCTACCAGGTTGAACAGTCCCAGCTAACTCGGCCTTTCCTCATATGAGGAATGCTCGAGGCCCTTAACCATCGTTATGGTGTGGTGACAAGGTAGCCCGGCACAACCCAACATCTTAAAACATTTCTTTGCTGAGGCTGAGCGCAAGATTACCGTGCTGCACCTTGTAGCGAAACACACCAACTGCTGCAGGTCTGTGTTTCAACCAGTACAACAGCTACAATTAGAAAAGAGACAGAATTTTTATTGTTGAATATTTAACAAAGAGTTCAGCACTTACTTAATGGCTTCACACATGTCCAGTCCCATTTTCACACAATTCTTGGCATGATTCTGAAGAGATATAGGCAGTCCAGAAACACAGTAATAGCAGTCACCTAGGATTTTAATCCTCATACATTCATTTTCCTGGAGGAAAAAGCAAGATAAGATGGTCACTTTCAACTTGAATTACCATAAATGAAGGGTTACTGTTACGAAGACTGACTTAAATGATGTTAGTAAAATCATTCTACTTCGGCTTGCTTCAGAGAAATCCTTCAGAGAAGGATTTGGCTTGCCAAAAAAGAAGTGCTGTCAGAGTTTTGTATGGATGATTCCTCCACCTGTTACGGTCCTTAATGGGCAAAACCATGAAGTAAGTTCTCTGCAAAACACGTACCTGCAGTGTTGTTCACACCTGAGATTAAAGAACTGAGCTAAAGTATCATGTGCTCAATCTAAATAAAGTCTTTCTGTTTCGAATACAAAATCAAAAGAACTAGTCTTCCACATTTACATCTTTGAAGATGTACTATGCAATACTTCCTGAAACCAGCCGTCATAATGTTGTTTCTGTCTTTTGTACTCTAAGGCAATGTAAAGATTTATTTTTTTTTTTAACCAATATTGGACAATAGTTGTTGAACTACTAAACAACACAGGACATTATTATCTATTTTAGTGTTTCTGTTTTCACCTTCACACACAGCATGAAGTTTGATGTAATTTTTACAAGAATCACACCTAAATAAACAGAAGAAAAATCTTCTGATTGTATTTGAATCTTCTCTTGAGTGATCAAGAGGCTGTAGTCAGTAATTAAAATTGCTTTGATCAACGTCTCTCTTGTCCTCCAGTCTCTTAAATGCTTTTTCAGTGATCAGAAAACTGACTGTATCAGCTTTCTATCTTGAGTTTCTTAATCCTCGTTATTGTAAAAAATCTATTTAAGGGGCTGTTCATCTGCCATTAAGCGTTACCAGACGCAAGGAGCTGTCTCTATTGGTCCTATTAGAGAGTTATCTTGGGTTGCACAGATTGTCACGCTGGCAGAAACACGCTGCTGCACTCAGACCAGAGCCAGATTTTTTCTTCGCATGTTTCAAGTCTAATCCTCCTGCCAAAGCCTCAGAAATGCTGCCAGGAGGTAGAAGAGTCCCCAGGAAGAAAAAATATTTTAAAGATGACTTACTTATTTAAACCAGCAGTAGCAGCCCAGCAGACACCCACCTTTGCAATCTGATCAAACTTCCCAAAGAGCTCATTGAGCATGTGCACCAGCTCCCCCGGCGAGCAGTCGCTGGCCAGGCGAGTGAACCCCACGATATCAGCGTACAGGATGCTGCAACAGAAATGAACAGGACGGAGCTTGGTCAGTCGCCTTCTGCAGAACTCAGGTTTGTCAGGCGACAGCGACACCTGAAAGCAGGCTTTCTGGACTTCACAGAGGTGGGCCCGCACCCAAAAGAGCCACGGCTAGACACAGAGCAATAAATATATCTTCAGGTAAACCTACATTTACCCTTAAAGGCATTATGTTTATAGGTAATATACCTATATTTACCTTTATAGGTATTACCTTTACAGGCGCACCTATATTTACAGGTATCTATAAGAACTTTATACCTGTATTTGTTACAGTGTATTAAAAAGATATAAATCTTTCTCCTACTCACATACCAGCAATATAATAACGGCAATTATTTCAATAAACATGCTTATTATCAAAAATCGTTTAATAACTTTTTATCATTGTAGACATTTTCTGTCTAGATTTACCTGTCAGTGATATCCAGCATGCAAGTCTTTGTTCACTTGCTATTCAGACTATTAAATTCAATCTTGATTGCTACGATATGCAAGCCACACACTATGTTTCTATTCACCAAGAGAACGTGACCATTTCACGGAATCAGGCTGAGGAATGAGTAGCAAATGAAAATGAACTTCCTCAGAAGTCCTGCAATATTTGCTTTAAAAAATAAATTCTTAACAATGTCATTCAAATTAACTTGTCCAATCAAAAAAACCAGGCAAAACATGCAAGGATGAAAGAATATTTGAAATAAATTAATTATTTTTCTTACTTCTATAAATTTATAATTAATAAGTAATTAGATTTTTCAGTAGAATATTCAGCTAATATACTGTGCAAAATGGATATCTAATGCAGCTGCCTCTATTTACATTCTATAAAACCTGAGAAATTGCTCCAGTTAAGAAAATTACAAATTCAGTATAACTGACACAAACTACAATTTTGACTAGTATACATGAAAGCAGGATTTGGTACTTTAACCTGAAAAATTAAGACATTATGAGGAAAGCCTATTAATGTGTGTTTTTTTCTAAATAACTCCTTCATAGTATCACCTTTGTTGCTCTTCTGGAACATGGAATGGTTAGCATTTGGTCAAATTAATGGATACTAATCGTTAAGTTTTGGAAAATATATTCAAACAATTATTTTCTTAATTGCTCTCTTAACACTTTCTTTTCAATTTTTTTCTGAATGTCGTTGACACATTTTATTACAGTACAGTACCTTACATTGGTGTGCCTTTTGACATACAAATTGTGGAAGTTGTTGGTATTTTCCAGCTGGCCTGCCTTGGGACCTTGTAACCTCTGAATGATCTCTGCTTTCATTTCCATGGCAATGTGAGCAGGCAGTAGAGAAAGAAGAAGACGCTCCTAAAATTTAAAATTAAACGCGCACAATTTCTTTAAGGAGAATGAAATTAGCATTTAAGCAACACTGTGCAAGGCATATTCTATTTTCAATACCCTAGAACATTTTGAGGAGGCTTGCACTCAGGCATTTGCCTGGTATGGCCTCCAAAATTAATCAGTTCCTTCAAGAACTTGACAGGGATATACACACATTTCCAAGTAATATCTAACTTCTTCAAGGTTTTGTGCATATTAGAAAAAGCGTAAGCAAAACTTAACACCTGAAGAAGTTTGGTACAGCAATCTATTCGATATCCAAGTAGGATGCAGGAAATACAGATTAGCAGATAAAGCAAGAGCTTCAAAGACTGCTCGGCGGACTTCAGGGAAATGCAGTTCAATTCAGGCAAGAGTAAGCTAAATAATTTTTTTTTTAATGTATTTTAAATGTTTAGTCATAGTTTTAGCAGTTATTAGACTGAAAATGAAAAGGTAAAATCAGGACACAGAACATATTGAAAATGTTGGACTTTTGCAGACTATTTTGATATGTACTCTCCCCTTACTTTAATATGGCATTTGACAAACTAAAGTTTTTTGAAAATATTAATGTAAAAGGAAATTAAATATTAAAAAAAACCCCAACCCTGTATCTTTTTTCTTATCTTTTGTTGATATTATACTCACGGTCTTCTCCTTGTAAAGCTCTCTTACAACAAAACATTTTAATTTTGCCTATTTTACTTGTGACAGCTTTTCACTGAGTTCCTATTTCTCTGGAAAACTGGATCAACAATGGAATACCTAGTTCTCTGCAAAAAAAACCCTTCCTGCTTTGATCATATTCCACCACAAAACTGAACAGGAATTTCCCATTTTCTCGCAGGCAAAGCAGAGATGCTAATTCTGGCTTGGCACAAAACCCAGAGCCCTGAACCCGTGAAGAGGGGGAAGGCAGCTGTAAAAGCCCGTGACAGAGTCAGAGAGAGAAACGGCTATTCCAGAAAAGAGAACGACCTCAAAACATGCATGGTCTGCAGGTGTATACTCATAATGATGCATTCTCTTTGGTTCACGTGTGTATTTTTGCAGAGTCTGCAGTTCCATTCATGAAGGTGCCAGAAGCAGCGTAACCGTTAATCCGGTGCTCTGCCTGGGATAATTACTGCTGTTCAGGTCCTTGAGTAGAGCATAGCAATAACAGGGATAGAAACTCTCTGGTATTTGCAGCCACCTTGGCTACCTATCTCTGTCACACAGAATGAAGATTTCCCATTCCTCGTTGCATTTGTGTACCCGCAAGCACAGCATTAACTTACGTGAGGCCCTGTGAAACTGATCCTGCACATACTTTGTAAAAAAACCTCTATTTCAGTGAATGAAGACAGAATCTTGCTTTTCTGCTAAGTAGTACTGAACTAATAATTTCCTTTCTTTTTTCTCTTTTTCACTTTGGTGAGATCTAAAAATAATTTTGATTCACATATATATGGACTGCTCTTTATTTTGCATACCAAGGCATATCACATGAACAGTACGACGGGTCACGAAGCAGACGTTCAAGGTGAAGCATACCTGTCTCTATCCTGACTAAAGGAGGCGAGAACAAAATAGAGGATGTACTGCTAGGATCTCAGTTTTGACACATTGTAACCGAGAGGAATATATATAATTAACTTTCCATCAAAATGCAAAACGTTAATGTGGCTTTATTTCTTAAATGCAAGATTAATTTAGTATGTTCAGGAATTTCAGAAAGCGCACATTCAAGAGGCCAATGCATTTTCATTTCTAACGTGGTCCACTGGTCCTTGGCGGAGGTATTCTGCTAACTTAGAACGCCTGCAGAACCGATGGATTCTTCTCCATAAGGAAAGCTTACTCTCGCAAGTTGCTCTTCATCTAACAGAAAGTTGCTGTTTTGTGATTTATTAAGAATTATCATTAAATCGTGAACAAAAAAGGGAGTGCTCTTAGCTCCCGGTTTACATCACTGTGCTCCTGTGGTGCCACGGCTAGTAAATGCAAGCTAGTTCACTGTCTGACTCCGTTGTGATTCCCGACACGCAGCGAGGCAGGCGCTCGATGCCCAGGTTACCGCTTGTGTCCTTGAAACCCAGAGAGGCTGGCGAAAGGACAAAGATAAAAGCAACAAAAGTTTTCAAGAAATAGAGTGACAGAAAAAAATTTCTTAGGAAGCAGCCATAAAGCCACCTACAAGCTGAAGGATCACAAGAGGAAAGGGAAAGCAGAAGGCCCTCGTTTCGTAGGGGACAGCAGGGGAGATGGGATATTTCCCTTCCTTCTTCCCTCCAGGCCAGAGCGCTATTCCATTCCGCTTGAACACGCTGGCGAAGCTGTTCGCTACACCAGAATTTCCCTCCAAACAGTGTTTTCCTCCCTCCGTTTCCACAGCAGAGAAGGCAGGTTACACGCAGGGGTGGCCCTGGAGGACTGCAGTCGGCGAGGCACGCTGCCGAACGCCTGCCGTGCCCAGCCACCCCCGCCCCGCAGGCGCACAGCGCTCACGTTCCAGCTCGGAATTACCACCTGTGTGACAGTGCGCTCAAGTCACACAGTACAGTTCACGCAGATTGTTAATTTTGGTTTCTTTCACTCAAAGACAACCGTGAAAGAAGCTGAATATCAACTATTTATGAAGACCACGGCTGGGCTGCTCGGCTAACCAAACACAAAATGGTTACAAAAGCATTGTTCCTTCTGTTTCTGCAAAAAGAACATAAGAAATGCAAAGCGTTTAAGAACACCTCTTCCCTCATTTTTTTGTCACATCCAGTAGCTAAAAAGAGCATAGTGGAAAGATCAAACCCAATTACTAATCGGATTTTAGTGCCTGATGTTGTGTACTAAAATTTCTGCAGCGTGGAACAGTGTGAGGAACGTAGCAAATCACGACTGCTGGTTATGATGGCTTTTTATTTGATAATACATCACATACTATTCTCTCTAAAAGATGGAAAATCTACACACCAAAACCTAGGTGAATGGATATACCAGACACTGACTGATTCAAAACACTTCTCTATTTGTAGTAGACAGAGAAGCCACTTACAGTCTGCAAGAAAAAACCCCAAGTAATTCCGAATGCAGGCTAAGATGAAGCGTTTAAAGGTCTTCAGACTAAAAGTAACAGTACCCACTTCTGGTGAAAAAGAAACTGTTATGCGACAGCAATAATGAAAATCCCCTCAAAAATGTCTTTCCCTGAAATATTGCCAACATGACCTTACAACCAGTACACGAGCCTCGTACACAGGACTACCTCCCGAGGGCCCGTGTTCTCCGAGGCTGTGCTTCCCCTCACCGCTCACATCACCTGCCGCTGAGATCTTTAAACCCGACAGCTAACAGAGCACACCATCCCCACCGAGTACCGCCTCACGGTGTCTTTCAGTACGGTGGGGTTAAGTACGCCTCTCGTCTCTGGACAAGTCCATCTGGATCCCAGCAGATGGCTGACAATCCCTGGATCCTCTAACTGAGGATTTTCAGCGGTACCTATCGAACTGTTACTTGAGTTTCTGTTCTCTCAAACTCTCACATCCAAGTTGATTCCAGAATTTGCCCTGAATTACACAGGTTACTTTAGCAGTCATTCCCAGCTACTCATCACTCCCCTAAAGCTAGATAAACTCTAGATGTTTGTTTAGCTAGTTAGCTAAGCATATCTCGGGTAAAGATCATGGCACTGTGTCAGTTTTTG